TGACATACATAGGTTAAATTAAATTAAATTGGCTATTAATGCTGTTGTATAACACTTCAGTATTAATCAATATTAATATGAAATTAACTGAAGTTTGCAGACATTTTAAAATGCATTGTTTTTGTCAGAAACCCATCTGACATTTGCGATGGCCGGGGGGTGGGGGGGCTGCACAACTGCTCTTCTTCTGAGTAAAAGAAAACCATGTAACACAGGTGTTTACACTTAAACTAAAAATATTTGACCAAAGAAAAACCAGAGCAGTTCTAGAAAGAGATTAATATGATTTAGATTGTTATTTCTGTGACTGTATACGACCCACAGGAGACACGACATTAACAGCAGTCGTCATTTCATTTCTCGTTTTTAGCAGGTCTGACGCTGTTAAAAATGACAGATTTTCTTTTGTGGATCTCTGAGAGCAGGACTTCAATCTCCGAACTCGTAAAGTTCTTATTTTTACTTTGCGATGTCATTTATGAATGGACATTTCCTGGTATCTGGAGCAGGAAACGTATAGCCTTAAATGGTGTTTTTAGGGTGGTAATTTTGCAAATATCCTCTCCGCGTGTGCGCACACCTGGATACGCATTCATCAGTTTACGCTCCTCATTTACACACTTTTCCTGAAGATAGAAGTTTGTTGAATCTGACGCGGCATGTTCATTCGAACCCTTTGTATGAACAAAAGTAAGATAAATTTAAGATAAGATTATGAACATGTTCTTGCATGAGGTCCATTGCCCTTTCTGAGTGAAACTTTAGCCTTTCCCTTGCATTTCTGTCATTTGTGTACAAAAAAACAGTGGTTATTTCCTGACCCCAAAACTTTTTAAACTCAAGTCTCAGACTGGAGGTTCTTAGAAAACAACAATTTTATACTGATGGCTGCATTCAATAGGTTTTCTGCATTTGATTGAGTAGATGAACAACAGTAATGGTAGATAACAGAGTGCTCTTTACTCACCCTTTCAACATGTAGGAGCAGCCCAACCTCTTCAGTCCAAACAAAAATTTGTCTATTCACCCTTTTGGATAACTGAAGTGTACTGTTCAATCTGTTTTTGAGTGTATACACTCAAAAACAGATTGTTGGATTTAATTAACACAGTAATGTCAAAAAAGTGGAAGTGGAAATTTTTGACATAACTGAGTTAAGTAAATCCAACAATCTGTTTTTTGAGTGGCGTAGAAACTACAGCACATTATTCATCTTCGACTTCTGTGGAGGGGACTGATAGGAGTCCAGTATCTCTCTGTCAGTCTCCCTCTCTTGTGCAGCACCTGAGTGGCAGGGAGAAGCATATTTTGCACAGCTGCATGTCATTCCTCTGACAGGTTTCTTCCTGCTCATAAGGCTGTGTGCTGTCAGAATCCAACACTGAAACACTGTTTAACTCATGGTACTCATACCTGGCTGGATGAATGAAGATTTGTGACTAGAGCAGAGGTGAGAAATCCTGATCCTCAAGGGTCTCTATCCTGCCTGCTTTAGAGGTTTCTCTGCTCTAACACACCTGATTCGAAAAAATAGGTGATTAGCAAGCTTAGGCAGAACTTGAGAGGGGAATTCAATCACTGAATCAGACGTGTTGAATCAGAGGAACAAGTAAAACATGCATGACAGCCACCCTTGAGGACCAGAATTGCCCACCCCTGGTCTAGAACGTACTCGCCTGTTTTCTCCCTGTGACCCTTGCAGTCATCCACACCTACTTGTGCCCCTTGAACAATCCTCCTCCTTGTACCTCTGTGACTTGGTCATGTGTTTGGTCAGCTTACTCATCTGGAGTCATCTCTTCTACATCTGGAGACCCTGCAAGCCCAAACTGCAGCATTCAGCTTGCCGGCCTGACGTGACACTTTCCCACCCAGATCCATTTCTTGAAAGTTGGAATCCTACATCTTCCTTTCCTCAACTGTGGACACAATTGACAAAGTAAGTGACTTTACCTCTTTTGTTCTACAAGTAAAAAGGAAAGAAACATTGCTGAAAGAAAGATATTCACCCTCTCCTGGGCATCAGCATGTTGTGCATGTATTGCCAACAAATAGCTAAACGTTTCCACTCTTCTTGGATCTTAGTTACACTGCTCTAAACACGAATAACCCGAACCTAACAGGGACAAGATTAGATGTTATTGGGGAGAAAAAAATCAGTTGAGCATGCAAAAACACAGATGACACATTAGTGGGTGCTTTGTTACCTCAGAAGTCCAGACATTTTGAAATATTTAACATCAGTTATGAGTACTCTTATGAGTAAAACATGTTCTGACATTTGAAGTTCAAAGACATATTTACTAGGCCTGGATGAATTACTGATATGTCCAGATGATAAAACATGCACATACCTTAGCCAGCACTTTCACAAGCCTTTTTTTTTCTTGTTCTGACTGTGAAATGTATGCCAACCCCATGGGAAGCTCACAGCTTCCATTCAGCCTGCCCAGGGGAGCAGAATATCTTTCAGCATTAGAAAACCAAACCTCTGATCAAAGGATTTGGGATTATCAAGAACTTGCAATTTAGAGTTAAAAGGAGGCAGCTGTGCTAATACCACTCCGCCTGACAAAGGGCATGAGGCTCAAGAGGAGTGCATCCCTCAGTGTGGATGTGAGTGGGTGTATTCTGAGCAGTCTTTGCACTGTCTTTGCCTTTTCTTCCTAAATACGCAGCAAAAAAATAAAAAAATTCTATAAGGATTTACTCAAAAAGTAATTAATAAAGATGCATATTAAGATTAAGCTTATCTAAGTTTTTTATTTTTATTTTTTGCATGAAGTCTCACAGAGACGTCATAAATATCTACAGAGAAGAGCTTTGTGAGCTGTTCTCAGCAAGCTCATAACTTTAAACAAGTTTTAAAAGTACCAGTGGAGATGTTGACACCTGTGGGAATCCACTAAATTAGTTTTTTTATAGTCTTAAATTCTTCTAAACCAAATGAAATACAAAAGTGTAAAGACAGGCATAAAATCCATCCATCCATCCAGCCATCTTTTTTCCATGCAAAATCACTGGAACTTTGGTGTCTATCTCCAGTGGTCATTGTGAGAGTGGTGGGGTACATCCTGGACAGGTTGCACGTCCATCTCGTGGCCACATGGAGACAAATGAGACAAACAACCAATCACACTTTCACTCACATTTAATGACAATTTAGAGTTACCAATTGTCTAGCATGGCCATTGCCTTTTACCCAATTCTGCTGAATTCTAATCTCTCTTCTTCACTCTGTCTGGGCTTTCTCCTATTGACGTGGATTTTGGATGGACACTCCGTATGCAGGTCGCATATGCAGATTCTTCAGCCGAACTTTATGGAGTTTACCTTGACTGAACTTTGTTTTATCGAACTGATATATATTTTTTTTACTTCATCTGAGAAATACTTCAGATGAACTGTGTTCCTGTTGATATCCTGATGCATCTCAGTAATCCATGTAAAAAATCAAAAAGAAAAAAAATTTGTGTAGGTCTTCTGGACGGGTTCTTCTCTAATGAAACATTTCGTCTCTTCTCCAAGAGACTTCTTCAGTCTGTTTCAGGCAAAATTCAGGCTTTTAAGCCCAGCCTCCGTGTGACTGATACTCACATCACATGGCTATCGTTGACACCTAATTAACACTTATTGTTAACAGGGGGTGGAGTGATACTGGCAATGGCCGTGCTGTAGGAGGGGGACAATTGAAAACAGAGAGCCTTGATGTCCTTTTCAGGGGTGCCACCGAGCCATTGGTTCAGATATGTTGACGACACCTGGGTTAAAATTAAAGCCCAGGAAGTCCAACATTTCACTGATCACATCAACTCTGTGGATGAATATATTAAGTTCACATGAGAGGATGTAAAAAAAACTGGCAGGTTGGCGTTCCTGGATTG